CTGGCTGCTCCGCCTTCTGGCCAGTAAACTGCATAGTTTTGCATAAAAAAACGAGGACACGTTGCACCGCTGAGTTGCCCTTCTGTTACTGATCTTTATTCTGTGATACGACTTTCAAACACAAATTCAAACACAAACAAAAATTTTTCATTATACAGAAAGCTCATATTTCCCGCAGCGCCGAGAATTTTTGATTTCTGTGTTCAAAGTTTCTGGGAATTTTGCATTGGTAAATTCTATGTTTCATTGAGCATGCGCTTGTTATATTTCAAATCGTATTTGAATACGTCCCACAATAACCGCGTTACTTTGAATGTTTTATAAACCTCGTAGCCATATTTGTAGTTTTGTTAGAAGATATTATTTTCGCTAAATAAAAGCTCTTATATTTCGAGAATTTTTGCGGCCTTATAGGACTTTCAAACACAAATTCAAACAAAAATATTTCCCATTATACAGCAAGCTCATATTTTCCGCAGCGCCGAGAATTTTTGCAGTCCTTTTGGGACCTTGCTATAAGCCAGCTTTACACTATAAACGTTTCTGTGTTCAAAGTTTCTGGGAATTTTGCATCGGTAAATTCTCTGTTTCATTGAGCATGCGCTTGTTATATTCCGAATTTTATTGCAATACGTCCCACAACAATCGCGTTACTTCGAATGTTTTATAACCCTCGTAACCATGTTTGTAAAGACGAACTTAAACAGTTAAACCATACACAAACTCAAAAATAAAAACTTCAAAAACAAATTCAAACAAAAAATATTACGTGCTGGCATAGATTAGGAAATGAATAGATGGCTCACTCCTTTGATGTTTTTTACGCTGCCGGCACCCACGCATGTTCTTGCCAGAGTAATGGCGGCCTAGCAAGTAACTTTAGTAAAATGCATTCTGAAATTGACATCGGTGCTACTAAATCCTGTATTTTTATAATTCTGATTTATTTGTCCATTAAACCCTCCGAAAGTGGAAAAATAGAGGATATAGTAGCACGGATGTCAATTTCACAATACATATTTTATTATAGTTCTTGCTAGGCCGCCATTACTCTGGCAAGAACATGCGTGGGTGCCGGTGGCGTCAAAAACATCAAAGGAGTGAGCCATGTATTCATTTCCTAATCTATCATCTGTGCTTCAATGCTGGCAATATTCAGGAAAATCCCTCCCATTACAGCAGGCTCGTATTTCCAGCGGACGTTCATATATGCTTCAGATGCAATCAGATGGGAAAATATGCTCAATTAATTATCTTATAATTTATGTTATTCACCAAAACGTCTGCCATATTTACTAAATTTTACACAGAATAAATTGTAGAAAATGATCCTATATTAACATAAAATGCACTACAAGGCAACTTAATATACTTTCAGTAAATAATTCTGATTCCATTTTTGCAGTCAATAAACTGCATGTAGTTTACAATAATGCAATATTCTGGCTATAGTAGTGTTTACAGGGCTGCCAAATGCCATTCAATGTCATCTTCAAATGTTCAAAAGCCTGTCATACTCAATATGATATAAAACAATGGTCACGGTATCTCTTGAGAAGGGCCTTTCATCCTCTGCAGACCAGAACTATGGTTTACTGGGTATTTCCTGAGATCTGGACATCAGATAACTTTCTCTCACAGTCCAAAACGATGCGGAGTACGGCGAGGTGTCCCTGGTTTCTTCAATCCAGGTGTAGCAATCTGAGATCTAATCAAAACATGATTATTTTTAAATATCGAAGGCAGTTTTAATCAGTGGCAATATTTTATGTGCTAACAATGCATTTAAACAAACCTAACAGATGAAACTTTCTCAATTTTCTCAGCTTCTCTGGCTTTCAATTGTGCCGTTGCTTCAGCCATCTCTTCCTCCATTTCAATCAATTTTTCCTTGGCTACTTGACGTTTCTCCTGAAAGAAAATATCATAAAATCATCACTGACTGCTTTGCACAACACTCAGTTAAATTTACAGTAACATTGCTCTATCCAGTGATCAGAATGTTCCATCGTCTTTTCATTGTTTTGAAAATCTCACTGTTCTGCATGCCATCCAGTCATAATCCAGTGATCAGAATGTTCCATTGTCTTTTCATTATTTTGAAAATCCCACTGTTCTCCATGCCATGCAGTGATCAGAATGTTCCATTGTCTTTTCATTGTTTTGAAAACCTCACTGTTCTCCATGCCATCCAGTCATGATCCGGTGATCAGAATGTTCCATTGTCTTTCATTATTTAGAAAGCTGCAAAAAAATTGACATACATGTCTCGTTTTCAATGATTCCTTGACGGTGTAGAACATAGGACCGAGTTCCGCCAACCAATAACCATCCACTGACGTCACACACTGCATATATTCCTGAAAAACAAAACCATAGATAGCAATTTTATATCGAGAGAGCACACATGTAGGTTAGCTAACTTTTTTCACAAATATTTTTTCTGAGCAATAGTTTTTTTATGTTGACCAATAGAATGTACAAACCTTGGAAGTCATGACGAGTTCATGATAAACAATATAATCGGGTGTGAATCCCATGCCAAATAAAGCACTTGTTGGGTGCAAATGACATGGCATGCCTGTGCGCATGTTTACATATTCACCGATACCCTGCAAAACAGAAAACAGTGGTCAGATTTATACACGGAACGTTGCCTCCAAGACTTTAGAAAACACGTTAACATTGCAGCCCTTGAAAAAAGTCGGTAAAACAAGGCCGACCTAAATCTGACCCAGGTCGGCACCTCTCGCCATTTGTTTAGATTCCCACAACCGTATTTTTAATATTCCTACGCCTGCTTTCCATTAGAATTACACGGCAAGCTTCGCAGTTTCTCTGTACTAGGGAAGAATTACCAACTGTGAACAACGTAGGGTCTCATATCGCAGTTGTAAGACCTGGTAAGGAGTAACGAACGAACATTGATGGCTTTTTGAATTGCTGTCGGCAGCTGAAAAAGAGTTCTACTGAGATAAACTGCATTGAGGTCGGCTAAAAGTTGCCGACCTCAAACATTTAGGTCAGCATTGCCTAATGCCGACCTAGGTTTCTAGGGCTGCATAATAATAAGAATGACAATGACAATGATTTATTCAACAGAATTTCCCTACAAGAAAGGCTCCCCATCTGTTAAAGACTACGACACATACTAAAATTAATACAAAGTATATAAGTTAACACGCTGTTGTAGTCGCCCATACCTTCAGCCTGGCTGCTTGTTGAAAATAAGATGAACAAATACATTTCCTCACAACATCCCAGTCATTACCACAGGAGCGTAAAGGCATACGATGTTGGACCATGATGTCTTTTAATTGACCTCGAACTTCGCGTACCTTTCGTATTGCCTTCACGTGAATGAAATGTTCAGAACACCAATGGCTTGAATAACTGGTAAAAAGAAGAACTTGTAAAATCAAATTAAGCTAACTTCATTGCTACTGCATATCACAGCGGTCATAATATAATTAGTGCCTGCGAGCAAAATTTCTACTTCAACAAGTGCCTGCCTGCATCGTATTTTAGGTTTTGTGAAAGAAATATAGTAAAAGTCCATTTTACACTAGACAGGTTTTGCCTAAATCTGTCGCATGCAACCTGCTTACAACTTGAGTTGTACTGTGTAAATCAAGTACACAACTTGCTTATACGTTGTCGCTGGTGAGTTGTGTGCTTGATTTCCACAGTACAACTCAAGTTGTAAGCAGGTTGCATGCGACAGTTTTAGGCAAAAGTTCTGCAGTGTATATCGGCTTTAAAACCTCTGCATTTTAGTCAGTTTACAATATGCCTTTCAAAAAGTGCTATTTGGAACGGTGCGAGCATTCTAGTTATATCCGCATGCATAGAGGACCATTTAGGATCATTCATTGTTGGTCTATTAGGTTTGGGGTCACATGGTGACACTCCCAAAACAAACACGTACTTGTTCGACTTCCATTGTTGATAAACATGAAGAAAAGTCAAGTGATCACTTTCAGGAACAGCAAATTTCTCCCTCACAGCGTCGCTCTCCTCCTCTCTTCCTTTTGGACGATAAAATATCGCAGGAACTGACAGCATGGACACGATGGTCTAGGGAGAATACTGAAAATGTAGTTCCCCCTCGGGATTTATTTATTTTACGCACGTTAGACGGGGGGGGGCTAATAAGGAGATTGTTGATTTAGTCAACACGCAGTGAGCAAAACTTTAAACAAAAAATTGTGAATCAGTACACATATGTTTCTTTGTTGTAAAGGGGGGGGGGGGGGGGG